TTAGTGACTTATTCAGTTGGCAGAACCAGATTCAAACCCAGATAAAGTACAAGTGTGTGCTCTTAACCTTTGTGTCCACACCTCATCACATTCCACGGAGACTAGCATCTCTCTGACTTGCTTATCCACTCCTTCCTAGGGGACAACCTGCCCTCAGGATCATACTGCCCTTGGCCACATCCTTCCTTCCTTCCTCCTTCCATCCTCATTCTCTGCTAATGAAAAATATAGCCAAGACCTATGTTGATCATAGGACCTCAGACTCTAAAGAGTCAGAATGCAATATGATGTTACACTAGACTTTGGGAGTTTCGCCATAGCAACCTCCTTTGGGAATTGTCTCAGTTGAATGGAGTTGCCTCACCTGGGGCAGCTCACATCCACTAACTGGTCCACCTGGGAGTACCAAAACACAGTCCCCACCACAACTTGGAGTAGTTCTGAAGGGGCATCATACCAATCCAAGAGCACCGCCCAACTTTTCCCCCTGCCCAATCCTGCTTCCTTCCCTTCCCTCCACAGGGGCGGATCCCAAGATCTCACCCTAATGGACTTCCTGCACCATCATCTCCTTCTCAGAGTGTTTCCTCAGGAGCCTAATATGCGGCAATTCCTCAGGAGATGGAGCATAAACAGAGCATGAGATAAAGAAATCCAACAGGACTGGGGAAAGAGTAGGACTGACCTCATAGGACAGTTGTGAGCATTTGATGGATTAATATGTGTGAACTGGCAAACAATGGTTAGTAAATTGTAAATCTTATCTCAGTTTCAAGCTGTTGTTATTATCATAATTATAACATTATACATTATTGCTATTCATGATCTTGGAGTCAGCAATCCAGCTGCACAGGCCCTTGAAAGAGAATTATGGCTTAAGAGCAATTTGTGTGATTTCTCAGAAATCTGCAAGTTCAATGGGAGTGTATAGAATGAGAAGCTTCTGGAAAAAGCTGAACTTGATCTGAAAGTTTATTAAGAGAAGTGTAGTTTCACAACAGAAGAAATGGTAGTTCTCTTTCTGTGCTGGTCAGACTGTACCTGCCATGTTGCGTGTACCTGGGAGTACAGGTAAAGGTGAGAAATTAGAGGAAAATGGCCAGGACAGCTTGGAGCAGGCATCTTTAACTCTCAAAATAGGTTGCCCCGCCTTACTCTCCACCTCCCAGTTCACCATGTCATCTGTCTGGCAAATGCCTGTACATCCTCATTCATCACTCTGCAGAAGCCTTCCTTGACTACCCCTTCACTTAAAGATATGACCCATTTCTTTTCCTTTCTTTTTCCTTTTATCATTACACCTAATGTCTTGACCTGCTTGAGCTTTGGGTCTGATGCATCTTCTGTACCTTGGGACAGGTTAGATGTCCTGTGTGTTAGTTTCCTAGGGCTGTTGTAACAAATTACCATAAACCAGGGCTTAAAACGTCAGAAACGTATTCTCTCGCAGTTCTGGAGCCCAGAAGTCTGAAATCAATTCAGAGGGCTGTGCTCCCTCTGAAGCCTCTAGGGAAGCATCCTTCCTTTCCTCTTCCAGCTTTGGGTGGCTCCAGATGCTCCTCGGCCTGTGGCAGCATTACTCCAACATCTGCCTCTGTCTTCACGTGGGACATTCACATGCCCTTCTCCTCCATGTCTTCTCCTCTTCTAAGAACACCTGTCCTTGGATATAAAGCCACCCTAATCCAGGACGATCTCATCTCAAGATCTTACCTTGATTACATTTTCAAAGAACCTCTTCCCAAATAATTCACCATTTCTAGACAGACACATTTTTTTATAGACCCTCTTCAACACACTACAGTCAGTATGTATTGATTCAACTACGCAGAACTGGCTTCTGTTAGATCTACCTGAAAAGTAAAGAGGATCTGGAGAGGGCAGACTCAGAGGGGGTGTAAGAAAGGGATGGAGCAATAAGACATGTGAAGGAGGACTGGATGGGTTTTGTCAACTGACCATGCAGGAGGGAGGTGTCAAAGAGAAAAAGGAGGGCTTCCCTGGTGGCGCAGTGGTTGGGAATCCGCCTGCCAATGCAGGGGACACAGGTTCGAACCCTGGTCTGGGAAGATTCCACATGCTGCGGGGCAACTGGGCCTGTGAGCCACAACTACTGAGCCTGTGCATCTGGAGCCTGTGCTCTGCAACAAGAGAGGCCGCAACAGTGAGAGGCCCGCACACTGCGATGAAGAGGGGCCCCCGCTCGCCACAAATAGAGAAAGCCCTCACACAGAAACGAAGACCCAACACAGCCAAAAAAAAAAAAAAAAGAGAGAAAAAGGAAATCAGAGATCTCCGAAAAGTGTAGAACAAGAAGTGTTGGGTGTATAGCTAAGAAGAGAAGCTGGTTCCTGTGAGGTGATATGCTCTTTCTCAGAGGAGTGAGAGGTGATTTCAAGAACAATTCATTGGCTCACCCATTGACACTCTGTACCTCATTTTCCCCACAAACCTACAGCACTTCCCACTTTTCTGGGATGTGTTAAGTTCTCTGTGTAATAAATTAGCCTGTGTTCCTTCCCCTACTCTAGGGGAACATGAACACATACAAGGCACATACAAGGCAATATGATAAAAATATGATTGTTTATTTACTTGTTTATGGCCTATCTCCCAACAACAATAAAAGATTCATGAGGCAGACTTCATGTGTCTTCCTTAATGACTGCATACAGCCTGGCACAAGATAGATCCGATATTACTTGCTGAGTTAATGAATGAATGGATTCATGAACAAATGAATGAATGGTAAAACAGAGATATACCAAAAATACTAAAAGGGTTGAAAGAGGAAGCAGCACAGAAGACCTCATGGGGAACTAATATTTGAACTAAATCTTAAAGAATGGAAAGTATTTTGCCAGATCCAATGGAGGCAAAAGAAAAATGGAATCGATCATCTGGGAGCATACAAAAGTATGACGCAGAAAGAGGACAACGCGGGGGCCTGCCAGAGGGAGAGGTGGCAGGAAATGAGAACGCAAACAACAGAAATTGTATTCAAGGCCACTGGGGCAGGGATCTTGGTTATCATGGTAAAGAGTGTGGACTTTGTCCTGCAGAAATAGAGGCGTGGTGAGGATTTTCAAGCAGGGAGGTGACTCAATAATATTCTGCTAATTAGAAAGATGGTTGTTCTTACTGCAGTTTGGTGGGTGGATTGGAGCCCAGGTGGCTAGGGGGCCAACACCAAAGTCCAGACTGGAGAGAACTTAGTTCTAAAAGTAGAACTAAGACCGGGTATCACTTATGGGAGTGGAGAGAGAAGATGTTCAGGAATCGATTGTTAGGACCTGGTAACAAATTGTTGAGATGGTGAGGATGGAGAGGAGAGGAAAGAGAAGACTTAAGGTGAGTCCCCAGGCTGCTGGTTGGGAAACTATGTGAGCAATGGAGCTGCTCACTAGGAAAACTCACTAGGAAAAGGGCCTGGGTCTGACAGAGGACCAGAGGACCAGTGAGAAAGGTCCCAAAAATAGTTAGGTGTTCATGTTTAGAACTTAGAAATGAAGTCAGAATGCAGACATAGATTTACGACTAGAGCTTTAACACAGATAAATTTTTTTTTAAATGAAATAATAAAATATATGAAATAATACAATGATGAAATAATTGTGTAATCATGGAATAACAAAAAAAAAGAAAAATAACAGAATAATGCCATCATCTTTCTAGATGATCAATTTACACAATGACAAAATATATCCAAACAACTCACTATTTTTTGTATTTATCATGCTGCAATCATTAGGCTTCACACAAAATCCTAGTTGGAGATAGAGTCTCAAGTCATCTTTTGGTATTTCCTGGAGACCTTTGTTCACATATGCAGCCATGTACATCCACTGCAGGTCGGGCACTGACCCAAACCCTGGGCATGCAGAGCCCTGCAGTCCCTGCCCTCATGGAGATGGCAGTTCTGCAGCTTAGCAGACATGAATACAAGCTACGTGTTAAACCAAAGGACAATGAAAGTTCAGACAAGTTCTGTGAAGGGGTCCGTCTCAGAGGGGAAGGAAGGTTTCTCTGAGGAAGTGATGTGAGCTGAACTCAGAAGCATGAGTTAGATGCAGGAGAAGAAGGAAGACAACAGGTGCTTGAAAAAAGAGGGACCAGTCCCTGGAAGAGACCTGGGGGAGGGAGGAGAGAAAATCTAAGGACCAAGAAGTAGCAGGTGTGGCCCAAGGGGAGAGAAGCAGGGGGGCAAAGGGGTCAGAGGAGCTACCCAGGTAGCTGCCGGGAACATTTGTGGAGGAAAGGATCATCCTTAAATGTCTGATAAAGCTCACGAAATGCCTGCACAAGAAATAGAAGTATATTAAACTTGGCTAATGAAATGAACGAGAGATGGTTTATGATAGAATGTCTTACTGAATTTAAACAAATTAACTCAATTTAAAATAAGTTAATCTCTTCATAGAAAATATCATCACAAAAATGACTAAATTATACAGAAGTTCAATACAAATTATTTTAATCCAAGTTGCTATTTCTAAATCATCTGCCTCCCTAAACCGGATGATGTTTGCTAGTTTGGGGCCGAATTCAATTAACATAGGAAAGCATCTAGGACATTCCTTAGCACATAGGCACTGTCTTTGTTTGACAGCCCCCCTTTAACCAGGTGTGATGCTCTTCGCTGTACAGAGCGATGTCATGGACAATCAGAGAGCTTAAGGAGGGCACCGCCGTGACCTCCCTGATGTGGGAGTGCCCACGTCCTCATTCTGATGGGGGCGGTTATTCTACCCCACGCTATTGCCACTTGTAAAATAAAGCACTTACATTAAAAAAAAAAGTTTGAAGTAATTGGATTACTTTAAACTCAGATTTTGTTTAACCCCAGTGGAAATGCAAAGAGAGATTTCGAATTTCGTGCGAGATGCTAATTGCTTACATCTGACTGGGTGGTTGTTTCTATGAAGGAATGCACTTAATTATTTTTTTTTCCCCTCTCTTCTTACAATTTCCTGACTATAATCTATTTTCTTTCATCACAGGGGCAATAGAAAAACAACAAAAGAAGAATCCCGTGATTTGAAATTCCAGAACTTTCCTCTGCCAGAAATTAGGTCAGAATATTTCCTTCTTTGTTAATAGAGGAGTAAAAATTTTGATGCTGCGGCAAATTAGCTGACCAGCACGTGCACACACATGCACCCTCACAAACACACTCACGTACGTACACGCACACGCACGCACACGCATGCACACGCACACACACGAAATGTAAATGGGATAAAATTGTATTGCTGTCATTGTTCTTAAAGGTTACACGATGACCAAGGCCCAGAACAAGAAGGGACTTGACTCAGGTTGAACTGCCAGCAAGTATGTGATGCAGATATAGGCTATGGGGGAGGGATGGAGTGGGAGATGGGGGTTAGCAGATACAAGCTATTATATATAGAATGGATGGACAACAAGGTCCTACTGTATAGCACAGGGAACTTTAGTCAATATTCTGTGATAAACCACCATGGAAAAGAATATAAAAAAAGAATGTAGATATATGTAGAACTGAAACACTTTGCTGTACAGCAGAAATTAACACAACATTGTAAATCAACTATACTTCAACTTAAAAAAAGTAAAGATCAGATGCAAGGAAAAACAGCCAATAAAAAAAATTTTTAATTGAAAGAAATTTTAAAAACAGGCCCCCAGGTGTCCACAGCATTTCAGACCAGGGCTATTTCCACCACCCACCCAGGTCTCTCAACAGCCCAAGAGACAGCCAGGGGGAAGCTTACATCCTGCAGCTGCTGAATGACTTAAGTGATGAATCATGGCTGGATCAGGCCATGAGCTCACAGCCAGGTCTCGGAAGCGAGGAGACTAGAGGGAACCTTGTGCGCATTTGGTTTCTTTTCTTTGTCCTTCAATTGAGCAAAATATTTACTGAGCAATTATGGCATTAGGACTTGCACTGGCTCTTGAAAATGCAGAGATGAGAGGCAATGTCCTGTCTCCAAGGGGCTCACAACCAAGGCTTAGAGCTTAGAAGGAAAGCTACTTGATGAAATGACTGACAAGGGACCAATCCTGAAGCCAGCTCCAGCTCTGCACTGGCCAAGGTCTGATCCTGGACGGCACCCCAATGCTCAGAGGGATTGCAGGCCTCCCTCACCCAGCCAGAACCCCCTTGCCGAGCCCTCCAGAGCTGTCTCTGTGCCTAGAGGGACGCAAGGGTCTCTGACTGCTATACCAACCCTTGCAGCCCAGTGAACTTCAGCTCAAGACAATTGCCAAACATCTGTTCAGTTCCTACTAAGTGCCAGGTACCAGAAGCAATCGTGACATGCTAAGATGTGCCTGAAGAAATATTTTCCCTAAGCAGAGTGGACGCGTGCCTATAAAACAGAATACTTGAAATATTTTCAAGATTGCATTAAGCAAAGGAAAATTTGTGGCTGTTCTCAGACTTCTTCAATGTTTACATTAAACACAGTTGAATGCTGCATTTTAAGTTGGTTTTTCTTATTTCTTGACAATAGCAAGAGATGAGAGATGGCAGGGTTAGAAGTCTTCCTTCAGATGGAAATGGTTGCAGCAATTACATACATCAAAGTAATATTTACAGTTACATTTGAAAAAAAAAAAAAGAGAGAGAGGGCACAGTGCTTTTTTCCAAAGCAAATTATTTCAGGATACATCAGAACATGCTCAAGATATATTAAAAAGAGCAACAGATGATGTTTCTGCAACCTGTTCCAAACTATTTATAAACCCAAATTTTAAAAAAAAAATCCCTTATACACACAAATCTCTGTACCTTTGCATATTTTATAATGAAAGTATTATAGGAATATAAATTAGTAAATGAAATCTATAAATCAAATCAAAATGTGTGAAAACTACGTATTTGGATCTACCATCATACCTTCATAACTATTAAACTGATGTTTTCGTTCTCCACACAAATTATAATTCTTATCAGCATCTGATGATGATCAAGTAAGGACAGTGCTACAGGTGGGCAGGGCAGCAGAACAGAACGGGTCTGTGGGTGCTGGACTGAAATTTCAGCTGACCTGTTTGCTAGCTCAGCAGCGACCTCACTCCGACAACCCATTACCATCTCAATGCTTTGCGTATTTTAGAAATGGTATTTGAAAACCAAGGAGGAAAAGGTGGGGGGGATGAATTGGGAGATTGGGATTGACATATATACACTAATATGTATCAAATAGATAACTAATAAGAAAAAAAGAAAATATAAAAATGAAACATTGAAAAAAGAAAAACAAGAGTAGATTGAATTCCCTGGCGGTCCAGTGGTTAGGACTCTGTGCTTTCACTGCTGAGGTCCCAGGTTCAGTCCCTGGTTAGGGAACTAAGATCCCACAGGCAGCGCAGCACAGCCAAAAGAAAACAAAAAATACAAGAGTAGACTATTTTGACCACCAGGGATCTGTTGGACCTAAAACAGTCCCTGTGCTTGGGAAATAAATGCATGACCTCTGTAGTGTGCCTGGAAAATAGGAGGTTCTCAATAAATAACAAAGGCTAATAGCCACTGAGTACTCACCACGGGCTAGGCGCTGTTTTAAGAGCTTAATAGGCAGAGAAAGACAAATATCATATGATGTCACTTATATGTGGAATCTAAAAATAAATGGTACAAGTGAACCTATTTACAAAACAGAAACTGAGTCACAGATGTAGAAAACAAACTTATGGCTACCAAGGGGGAAAGAAGGGGGAGGGATAAATTGGGAGATTGGAATTGACATGTACACACTACTGTATATAAAATAGATAACTAATAAGAACCTACTGTATAGCACAGGGAACTCTATTCAATACTCTGTAATGTGGGAATAAAATCTAAAAAAGAGGTGATATATGCATATGTATAACTGACTCACTTTGCTGTACACCTGAAACTAACACAATATTGTAAATCAACTATACTCCAGTAAAAAAATGAAAAAGAAAGAGCTTAATAGGTAGTGTCTCACTGCATCCTAGCGATCACATTCTTACTAGGTTTCCTTTTATAGGAGAGAAGAATGCAGACTGGAGAGGGTAAATAACTTCCTCGAAGCTGAATAGCTGGGTGTGGTATACAGTAAACAGTGGACATAATCATTAGTACTAATCTCTGAAACAACCCGGGCACTCCACGTCACTGCCCTCACTACTGCCATCCCTTAGTTACGTGTAGGGGTCAACTCTGGCGACAGAGGCAGAAGGGCTGTCCTTCCCCACCCACCCCCAAACTCAAACATGCGTGGACCTCCCCGTAAGGTAGAAAGGAAAATATAAAGCTCCATGCTGGGGCTTCACACAGATGATACAGCCCGGGAGACTAACCAAGAAAAACACACGATCCCATGCACGTCCATTACCCCCAACCTGTCAACAATATTAAGATGAATGTTTCCTAGAATGTCCCATGGAATCTCTCTTGCTAAATCCCCAATACCCACTTCTATTCTGTGCCCTGTGCCCATGTGGAAAGAAACAGAAACATCCTGATGGATGTTTTCCAGTCAAGTCCAAACTTTTATCAATAGCTGAATGCCTAACCAGTACCAGAAACCATGAGAGGAACTGTGGCATTTAATCCTCACAATAATTCTCTGAAGTAGGTAATAGTGTTCCCATTTCACAGATGAGGAAACAGAGCCTGGGAGAGGTAACATGTCTTGGTCACAGTCACAGAGCTGGTAACCGTTAACAGCTGGATTTGCATTCCGAGTCTGACTTCAAATTGAGGGCCTTTTCTGGGTTCCAAGTTGCCGCATGTGAATTTTGTTTTCTAATCCTATGAGTCTCAAATCTACTCACGTCAAGACTCTCCACTATGAAGCAGGGGCACATGCATTAAACTCCTGAGAAGAACATCCACAGCCATAGCTACGAAGCCTCCTAGCAGCGATTCTTAGGGCTGGTCCCTGGGCCGGCAGCGTCAGCATCACCTGGGAGCTGCTTAGGGAGGCAGGATCTCAGGCCCCACCTACTGAATCAGAAACTTGGGTGTTGGAGTCCAAGCACCTGGGTTTAAACAAGCTCTCCCAGTGACTATGATGCCCATTCAAGTTTGAGAGCCGCAGCATCAAGCATCGTTATCAAGAGGGCAAGCTTTGGAGCTGGAGCAAGAGACCTCTGGGCCCAGCTCTCGCTCTGCCCCTTCCCATTATGTAAATGAGATGGAGGGAAGACGGTATAAGACAGGGACCCAGTGTGAGAGAGCGGGAGGGAGATGGGAGAGAATGTTGTCCCCACCTGGGAGAGATTCCTGCTTTGGGGACCAGGAAAATCAAAAATAAAGAAGACATAGCACCTGCCATCAAGATGCTCAGCCTCTTGTGGAGACAAACATAAAAAGGCATGTATAATAGATCACAAGATACTGTGCCACAGGTGGGACAGAAGCAGATGCAGGCCTGTGGGAGCCCAGCCAGGAGGCTAAGGAACGGAAGGGGGAGGGCTTTCCCAAGTCCACTTTCGAGAACGGAGCAAAGCCAAGGTTCACACTCCAAGTGCAAGTCTCTTTCTCCTCCATTCCTGATGGAGTTATTCCTAACAGTATCACTCACATTTCCCACATTCAGACCCTTCCCAATTCATCACCTCATGGACTATTGATTTTTCCCTGCTATCAGTAAGACCTGCAGCAATAGTTAACTCCAGAGGACAAGGTACAGGTGGCTGTCATTTCTCACATCCCAGCAGGCCACTCCTCAAGGAGACGGCCTCCCTGTTCTATTCCGTGCACAGGGAGGCCCCTGTGCCAGCCTTCCTGACCAGGCACACCTGAGGTCACAGCTCGTGCCGGACGGCCACAGCTGCTGGTCTTCTCTCGACTTCTCTGCAGCTGCCCTGGGTGTCTGCTCCCTCTGGACCCCTGTAGAAAGTGTCCTCCCAAAAGAGTTCACAAGCTTAGAGCTTTACAGAGGATGCTTTCAGAGGATGCATGCAATAGGGTGGTGTCCCGCCATCTTTCTGTGGTTGTCCACAAGGAGCTCCTATGCAGGAGATGCTCCGTAAACATTGCTGAAAGGAGGGGAGTACAAAGTGGGGAAGGAGGAAGAATAAAGTCAGGACCCAGCGGGACGCACCA